GAACCAAAGAAATTACTAATTGTATCGAAAAACCAATTTAGATACTAATTGAGTAACATAAATTTTTTATCTAATATGAATTTATCGAGTTTTTGTTGTAGATCAAAATGAAACTTAAACAGATTTATATAGTAATGTGTTAGATTCATTACCAGCATTAGGCCTTTGATAGTGACGTCACTGTAATACTCTGGCTCTTCTTGTTGCCTAGAGAGTAAATGATTAACCATAGTGTTACCATCTTTGTCTTTCCTACACTCATCAAGCAATCTCTGCAAGATCTCATCCATGGCTTCTCCAACAGCTTTCACTTTCTTCTCAAAGCTTCCTCCAAAGATCTTCATGAACGGCAAATAATCTCCGGGATGCCTCGCGCCGCTACTATCGTTAATATCCGCGACTAGTTTCTTGAAAAGATTCGCTTCTTCTTCGTTATGGACTTCGTCTCCGTAATATCTTTTCCCTGTAACCATCCTTACTATGTTGTTGAACGTTAGATCGGACAAGAGCGGTTCGAGCACGATCTCGGTCTCTTTGTCGGTAGCATCACGTGAGAGTCTCGTGAGCATACGGTGGATTTCGTCTTTACGGATGTGGAGGAAGTTGGTGAGACGGTTCGAGGAGAGGATTTCAAGGGAGCAAATACGGCGGAGGTTACGCCAGTGATCGCCATAAGGAGCGGTTCCTACGGTTGTGTAGTTGTAAGCGACGTATTTTGCGGTCAAGAAACAGGGGCGGTTCGATAAAACGACGTCGTTTTGGCCAGTGAAACATTCTGTTGCGAGTGAGGAGGAGGAGATCACGACCGCACGGCGGTAGCCGAATCGGAGAGAGAAGATTGGGCCGTGAGTTTGGGAGAGACGGTGGAAAAGACGGTGGACGGGAGGTTTGAGGAGGCGGTGATGGCCGAGGATGGGGAGAGAGCCAGGAGGAGAAGGAGGGAGGTTGAAACGCTGCGTTTTGGAGGTGAAGAAGAATTTGTAAGCTAAGAGAAAGAGAGCTAAAGGGAGAATAATCACATAGTAAAACATCTTTGATTACGAGTTTGTTGGTGAGACGTCGAGGCAATTATCACGATATATATTTATATTATTGCAAGTGTGAGGTACATTTTCCCTAGGACATTTTTTTTACTTACTCAGATACACAACGTGACAAGTGAGAAAACCTTGAGCTATAATGAAGACAGTGATTTTGCTCTCTTTTTTCCTTTTAAAATGTAAGACCATGTTTATCGGTGAGCTTTTGTGGGTTTTTTTAAATATAAAATTATTAAAAACACACTCTCTCTTCCTTTTACTCAATTTTATACCTTCTCTTTCATCATTTTATTCAACTTTATACCTTTTTTTCATCCTTTTACTTAATTTTTATTAATTTTATATTTAAACATACTCAACTCTTTCTCCAAAAATTTTTTTCTAAAGATACTCTATCTCCAAAAATATTCACTATCTCCTCTTTCTACTCAAATTTTATTAATTTTATATTTCAATATACCGCATTATTTCAACTAAAATCACTCTCTTTTTTATTTTTACTCAAATTTAAATAATTTTATATTTAAAGAAACCCACAAAAGTTTACCGATAAACCTGGTCTAAGTTAAGAAGGATATGTAAGAGCAAAAAAAAAAGAGTTTGGTACGATATATAAAAGCACATTTTTTGAAAGCGCAATTGTTTAGCAACTAACTAATAAACTAATATGCATGATAATGATAATGGAGAGTAGGTGTAGTAATATGTAATCAACAATTATGCGACTCTCTTTCGCGTCATCATCACGTGCTCAACACATATATATAATTACAGACAGAAACATATAAAATTGCTATTTGATATGTTTAAAAATAAAATAAAATGATAACCCACATGTTTTTTAGTTATCGTTAGCTCGAAATGTTGTATTAATTGTGCTTCTAAAAATAACGTTAAAACAGAACAGTTAATAATATTACACTATATTTTTGGAATAAGACGAATCATTACTCCATTTTAGAATTTGAAAACAATCAAATAGAATTGGATTGTCATAGTAACTTTGAAGTGTAAGATCCATAACATTTTACCCCAAAAAAAAGTGTAAGATCCAAAAAAAAAACTTATAACAACATTTTTCTTGCTTGTACTTTTAACACAATGTCAACATTACTCTACCAAACCACCAATAAAAAAGGCTGTGTGTAACCAGAAAATATGATATTAATCAGTGAAATATTACACTATGGCTTTGATCGGTAGCATGAGTTGGTATTGATTTAGTTTGAGTTAAGGGTCTAATTCATTGATAACTCAAAAATGTTACCAATCATGACTCAAACTAAAATTTTAGAATTTGAGTTGTTATCATGAATTATGGTTGATTCACCATTTTGAGTTATGTTCTTTGTTAAATTGCTAACTCAAAAGTTAATCTCATATCATGGAAAATGGGATGAATTAGATGTTGAGTTAAGTGTTTTTGTTGCTTTTTTTGTATTTAACGTGACCTTTTTTTTTTGTGCTAATTCCAATTTTAATTATTTTATTATTGCACACAAAATAATATTTCCAACAAGATATTGTATTTAATTTTTAATTAACAAGGTTCTATCAATTTGGTTAAAGATTTTTGATTCAAAC